AAGGGGCTTTGTCATGACAGAGGGGACTGGAACAGTGGCTTCCAGCAGTCACGGGTTGAGGGAAAGAAGGGCTGGGAGCACTGAGGCCGGCACAGAGGTGTGGCCACCCCTCAGCCCAGCAGATAAGGCAGCTGGTCCCGAGGGGGAGAGGGGGGACTCAGAAGGTCCAGTCTGACTGCAGCCTCCCACTGGGGGCTGTGACACTGGAAAAGTCACTCAGCATGTTCTGAGAGACTCCTTTCCTGATAAACTAGGGAGAAGTCTCTCTGCTCTTCTTCTTCCCAGGGCAAGGACAGGCTTTAAAGACAAGGCACTGCATGGAGAAGTGCAGTTTAAAGGTCCCCTCCCCTAGCAGGCAACTGGAAAGCATTTGCATCTACAAATTCTGCAGCAAGTGAATTTCTTCTACCGCATACCAAGAGCTAACCGAGTGAGAAAACATGGCTCTGTCTATACAACTACTTCACACAGCGATGCTTACAGCCTACCTAGCAATCATGACTGAATTCAGAGCACAGCTTCAAGGCCCTTGTTCTGTTTTGGTCAATTTCCTGGGAAAAGCTGTTGTTCATTACTGTCAATTAAAGCTTTCTTCCTCTTTTTTTTTTTTTGGTTGGTTGTGGGGCTTGAACTCTGGGCCTGGGCGCTGTCCCTCAGCTCTTCAGCTCAAGGCTAGGACTCTACCAGTTGACCCACAGTGCAATTCCGGCCTTTTCTGCTTATGTGGTGCTGAGGAATTGAACCCAGGGCCTCAGACATGCAAGGTAAGCACTCTACCACTAAGCCGCCTTCCCAGCCCCAGCTTTCTCCCTCTTTAGTTTTGCTTCTGGCAGGTCATTCTAGAGTCTTGATGGGGGCAGGCACCCAGAAGCATGTGGCTTAGCACATGGCTAGCATGGAGGCTCTGCTGCCAGGTGTCCCATGTCCTACCCCAAGCACAGGCCAGAGCAGCCCAGCCCCACTGTATTAGGCTGACAGACCTTCCTCCTACCCCAGCCCTCCAGGCTAACTAGAGATGGAGTGTTGATGACTTTTCTGCCCAGGCTGGCGTTGAACTCCTGAAGTAACTAGGATGACAGGAGTGAGTCACCGGTGCCCATCTTGGGCACCAGTTAAATATGATATCAAAAGCACAAGAAAATAAGTAATAAAATAATTTGTACTGCATAAAAATTAAAGCCTTCTCTGCATCAAAGGACATAAAAAAGTAGGAGAAAATATTTACAAACCATATATCTGATAATGGCCTAGTATCCGTAATACATAAACAACTCCCATAACTCAAAAATTATGAAATAATCCAATTAAAAAAGAAGTGTTTTAGATACAGTTGTTAAAAGACGCTTTACAGGCTGGGCACAGTGCTTACACCTATCATCTCAGCTGCCAGGCGGCAGAGGTGGATGGTGGTCTAAGTCTGGGCCCAGAAAACAACGCAAGACCCTACCTGAAAAATAGCTAAAGCAAAAAGGGCTGGGATCACGGTTCAAGCAGCGAAGCAGCTTTTAGCAAGGAAAAGGTTCTGAGCGTAAAACCCTAGTACAATTTAAAAAAGAAAAAAAAATCATGTGAAAAGATGCTCAGGATCACAAGTCCTGAAGCAAATGCAATGAAAACCACAAGGCCGCCCCACTCCACACTGAAATGACAGAATGCAAAAAAAAAAAATCAGAAAAAACTTTAGAGTTTGAGAATTCAGAAAAACTGGGAGCTACCACATGTAAAGTGGCTGTCACTGCAGAAAACATGCTGTAGGCTGGGCACCGGTGGTCACGCCTGTAATCCTAGCTACTCAGGAGGCTGAGATCTGAGGATCGTGGTTCAAAGCCAGCCCACGCAGGAAAGTCTCTGAGACTCTTACCTCCAATTAACTACCCAGAAAACTGGAAATGGTGCTGTGGCTCAAGCGGTAGAGCACTAACCTTGAGCTGAAGATCTGAGGGAACAGCGCCCAGGCCCATAGTTCAAGCCCCACAACTGACAAAAAAAAAAAAAAAAAGAAAACATGCTGTAGTTCCTTAGAAGTTAAATACTCTCTAATGCCAGATGACTTGCATCTGCCAGATTGGCAGATGCCTAACAGGATGGAAAACATCTTCCCAAAGATTCATATACAGGGCTGGGAAGGTGGCTCAGGGGTAGAGAGCTTGCCTAGCATGCATGAAGTTTTGGGTTCCATGCCACATAAGCAGAAAAAGCTAGAAGTGGCATTATGGCTCAAGTGGTAGAGTGCTAGTCTTGAGCAAAAGCAGTTCAGGGACACTGCCCCCCCAAAAATATTCATTCACAGAGTCACCACAAAGGAGAAGCAACTTAAGTCTACCAACCAATGAATGAATAAAACAATGTATAGCCACTCAACAGAATGATGTTCCATCATAAAAAGGAATGAAAACTGGTAGATGCTATATTAAGTATGAACTATGGAAACAAGATACTATGTGAATGAGGTCAGACAAAAAGGCCACATATTGTATGATTCTATTTATAGGGAATTTATAGAAGGAGAAGAAATCCATGGAATCAGGTACAGGTCAGTGGTTTTGACAGGCTGAGGGAGTTAGGGTTTCTGGAAGAAAGGGGAGTAAGTGCTAATTGGTAGTTTCTTTTGGGGTTATGGAAAGGGTCTTGAATTGGACAGTAGTGACTATTCTATAAAAGGATTTGTTTTATATTTAATTATAGATTTTATATATATTTTTCAGTACTTAGGTTGAACACAGGGCCTTGGGCTTGCTATGCTGGTGTTTTACCATCTGAGTCACACCTCCAGCCCTGCTTTTTGCCAGTTATTTTGGAGATAAGTGCTCAGCAAAATTTTCCCCCAGGATAATCTTGACTAAGGATCCTCCAGATCTCAGCCTCCTGAGTTGCTACAAATACAGGTGCAATTCATCAGTGGTTGGCTATGAATTATGATTTTTATATAAAACCACTAGGAGAAAAAATAAGAATGTATTGACAGTAATGGACCAAAGGAATCCACTTAGGTAGATACATGCAACAAGAAGACAAAAGAACTGCAAACTGGCCTGCTTTTCATTATCACTATACAGAATGGTGCTACACAGTTGGTGATAAGAGTATTCCTCTTTGCTGTGGACTGCTTCCAGTCTGCTGTTAGTCCTCACCAAGTGCAGAGAAAAAAATGGAGCATGTGTCTCAGCTCATCACATACAGCTACGTGTCTGCACTGTGCCGTGTAACTAACAATGCTCTCCCCAGCTGTGAAGAAGGCCCGTTGCTGAGGGCTCTGGGCCAGACTCCTGGCTAGTATCCCAGCACATGCCATTAGTCACCTCATCCTGAGGGCAAGGACACCCAAAATACATAGTGGCCCCCAGGAATTTACCCAAACTCTTGGCTTCCCCTGAGGCCTCTGCATATGGCAACTTCAAGCATTTTCCAACAAAACCAAGATTAGCAGAAATTTGAGCGAAAAGCTCATTAAGTCATTGCCTTTAATGACAAACTTTAATAGAAATTGTGTTGCACAGTCAGTAAATCTGTATGTCCTACAGGAATTAGTGGGGCTATTAGCATACTCAAACAAGACTTCTACTCGTAATTGTAATTTTTTATTTTTGTGCCAGCTCTGGGGCTTGAACTCAGGGCCTAGGCACTGTTGCTGTGCTTTTTTGTTCAAGGCTAGTACTCTACTACTTAAGCCACAGCTCCACTTGCAGCTAGCATTTTTGGTGTTGAATTTGAGACATGAGTGTCATGGACTTTCCTGCCTGAGTTTGTTTCAAACTGCAATCCTTAAATCTCAGCCTCCTGGTAGTCAGAATTACAGGCATGAGCCACCAGTGCCCAGCTCTGTGCTTGTAATTCAAGTGCTATAATAGCCAAAAAATAAAAATATAAAACCTCATGTCAAATAACAATGTAAACTAAAATTTGGCAGAAATAGGGACAGGAAGACTAGAAATGGAAATTGCTAGCTCGGTCCACAGACCTTGTTTTGCTAGCCAGTGCTCTACGACTGAGCTGTATGCAGGCCCCTCCTGACCTTCCACCTTGTCCCTGACTTGGAACTTGCAATGTAGCTGACCTCAAATTCTGTGTGTGTGCATGCATGCACGCACGCATGCATGCGTAGGTCCTAGGACTTGAACTCAGAGCCTAGGTACTCTCCCTGAGCTTTTTTGTTCAAGGCTAGCACTCTACCACTTGAGAGACAGCTCCATTTCCAGCTGTTTCAGTGGTTAATTGGAGATATGAGTCTCCTGGACTTTCTGGCTTCAAATTGTGATCATCAGATTTTAGCCTCCTGAGTAGCTAAGGTTACAAGTGTGAGCCACTGGTGCCCAGCTTCAATTTGTTTTTATAAGTAAAATACCAAAGACTTACTGAAAAAGATAAGCACAGCTCCCACTGGATGGGGGAGTACCAAGGGAGGGTAACACTTGGGGTTTGTTAATGAAGTGCTTCTAGGAAGAAGCTACGTGACTCTCAAGATTATTAGACAGCCTGCTCTATCAGGCTCTATCACTCCTCAGACTCAATCAAAGGCTCGTGTAGACTGATCTCAAACTTTTTTTTTGGTCGTTCCTGGGGTTTGAATTCAGGTCCTGGGCATCATCTCTGAGTCTCTTTTGCTCAGGGCCTGCACGCTACCACTTGAGCCACAGCCCCACTTCCAGCTTTTTTGGTGTATGTAGTACTGAGGAATGGAACCCAGGCCTTCCTGCATGCTAGGCAAGCGCTCTACCACTAAGCCACATTCCCAGCCTTGATTTTTTTTTTAATGTTCCATTTATAAAATGTCAGGAATATTTCTCTTTCTAGAGGGAATAACTCAGGTGTTGGCTCAGGTTATCCTTAATATGTGTTCACAGCTCTAAACTTCTTATCAAATTCCAAATATCGGACGCCAGTGAAGGAGAGTCAGAACATTGATTCTGGGTTCAGGTACCAGAGGGCCCAATAGGCCAGCTACAGTGTCCTAACAGCTTGTCTTGCTAAAAAGCAAGATTCTACTAGCTACCTTGGCTTACCTGGACAGGTGGCTCAATCATGATCCAGGCCGGAAGCATCAGGCTGGGATTCAGAGGCTGGGTCCCCACACGGAAGTAAACTCCACCCCTGGAATCACACCCCCAGATGTGCTGGTTTCCACATGCCAAGCTGATCAATTTGATGGCTCCTGTAGAGTCAGAGGAAAAACATACATTATAATTAGTTTTGTGGCATGACTACTTTTTCCTTTAGTTTATGACTTTCCTTTTATGCTTCAGAGGGAGAGAGGAGGCTACACTTGCAATTGAACTCTGGCGTTTGTCACCTGATCTACCGAGTCCTTCCATAGCTGATGTGGAAACTTGGCTTGGTGTCAGGTGCCATCCAGCAGCTAGGTTTTTTTTTTTGTCAGTCATGGGGCTTGAACTCTGGGCCTTGGAGCTGTCCCTGCGCTCATCAGCTCAAGGTGATTGACTACCACTTGAGCCACAGCGCCACTTCCAGTTTTCTAGTGGTTTATTGGAGGTAAGAGTTTCATGGACTTTTCTGCTTGGGCTGGCTTTGAACTTCAATCCTCAGATCTCAGCCTCCTGAGTAGCCAGGATTACAGGCGTGAGCCACTGCCGCCCATTTTTTTTTTTTTTTTTTGGTCAGCTATTGGGCTTGAACACTGGGCCTGGGCGCTGTCCCTGTGCTCTCCAGGCAAGCACTCTACCACTTGAGCCACAGCAAAACTTGCCACTTCTGGTTTTCTGGTTGTTCACTGGAGATAAGTCTCATGTACTTTCTTGCCCCAGCTGACTTTGAACCATGATCCTCAGATCTCAGCCTCTTGAGGATCTAGGATTATAGGCATGAGCCACTGGCGCCCAACTCTGAGCTGCTTTTTTGCTCAAGGCTAGTGCTCTACCCCTTGAGCCATAGCACCACTTTCAGCTTTTTCTGTGGTACTGAGGATTGAACCCAGGGCTTCATGCATTGCTAGGCAAGCACACTACCACCAAGCTATATCCCCAGCCCCAGCAGCGAGGTTTTGAGAAAAGTAGTCACAATGCTGCCAACACAGCGCCCTGGGCCCCAGCAGGGGATAAAGAGCTTGGTGTGGGTCAAGCATCACCTTCATCCCCTGTGCAGCTGTTGCCAATAAATTTTGGGTTTGTGGTGAGGGAAGCCATACTTACTGGTAGAATTAAGAAAACAGTCTCAGAAAGAATCTTCCTTTTTGCTTTGTGTGCCAGTTCCGGGGTTTAAACTCAGGGTCTGGGAGCTATCCCTGAGCTTCTCTGCTCAAGGCTAGGGCTCTACCATTTGGAGCTGGGTGTTGGTGGCTCACGCCTGTCATCTCATCTACTCAGGAGGCTGAGATCTGAGGATCGCAGTTTAAAGCCAGTCTGGGCAGCAAAGTCCGTGAAATTCTTATCTCTAACAAACCATTAGAAAATCGGAAGTGGCAGTGGCGCTGTGGCTCAAGTAGTAGAGCGCTAGTCTTGAGCAGAAGAGCTGAGGGACAGTGTAGTAAAAAGTGCCACCGCCAGTTCTTACTACATTGCACAGGGGCAAGCTCTGAGCACTCCTCAGCTCACTTCAGGCTTCCTAGTGGTCATTACTATCTATTACTGTTTTGTAATGTGACTATTATTCCCAGTGCAGTTCCTGCTATCCCAGTTGACTCCTGAGGCGGCCAGGACTCAGCCACAAAGAGATGTGCCCAGGTTCACAATGTTTGAACTAAGCGAGAAGGAAGGGGGGAGAGGGGCCAGGTGACCTCTGTGGCTTTACGGACAGCAAAACCTATAGATAGTCCCAATTCTGGCATTTCTGGGGGTTGAATTCTAAACTCTGCGCTTGCTTGGCTGGAGCCACACCTCCAGTCCAGCTTTTTTGCTGGAGATGCAGTTTTGTGATGCTGGAGATGCAGTTTTCCTGGGCTGGCTTTGAAATGTGATCCTCTGATTTTAGCCTCCTGAGCAGTGAGGAATATAGGAGTGAGCCACAAGCACCAAGCTCAAGTCTAGTTTTGATAAATTAATCCATGGGAGCAGTCCGTTCCTTGTCAGTACCCTGTACTCCAAGGCTAATATTCGCAGAATGAAAGCTCATCCACTCCAGTGTGAGCGAGCTTCGGCTATGTATCACTCCTTTTGCTGCCAAGTATTATTATGGAAACACCATGGTGAATTTCTGCATTTACCTGTTGATAGGTGTTTGGGTCATTTCCACTTTTCTCTATTCGGAGTACAATTGTGTCCCTCCACCCCCCACCCCCCAGCTCTGGACATGAACTCAGGGCCTTGACTGTCTCTTAGCTTTTTCACTCAAGGCTAACTGCTCTACCACCTGAGCCACAGCTCCACTTCTGTCTTCTTGGTAGGTATTTGGAAATGAAGAGTCTTATGTACTTTCCTGCCCAGGTTGGCTTTGAATGAATAAAGTATTTATTTTAGCAGTAAAATATATACTTCAGTGCATCATAAACCAAACAATTCTGAATGAAGAGCCAAGTGAAAGACAAAAAGTCTGAGTAAGGGCTTGCTTTTCTGCAGTTTTATCTCACGGGTCTCGGTAGGGCTGAATGAACTCCAACAGGATATGCACACCCAGCCCACTCCCTGCCCCAGCCCTCTTGGGCTCCTCTGTGCTCTCTTGGTTAGGCAGTGGTGAGCAGTTCTAGGGAGTGGCACTGATCTATCACTTGGGAGCTAAACCAGAAAAGTGTGCTGGGAGGGGGGTTAGGGAGTGGCTGGTGAGGAAGGCTGCTCACCTGGGAGCTTTCTGTAACATAAAACCCAACCTGACATTGCCCTGCCTTCCCTGCTTTGTTTTTGCTTCTCCCATTAACAAGTTTTTTGGGAATAACAATGTAGTCCTAAGGGACAGAGATCACTGCATACCATAATCAGGCTTGTTACCTAAGACACATACTGACTCCAAATACTTCATTTCAGGTGGTGTCCAGATGAATTGCACTACAAATTGCATTAGTTTGCTAAACAGTCCAAAGCCTGACATAAGGTGTATTTACGCATACTGGGAAATATAATGTTAGGGGCTTCTTAAATATCTGCTAAATGCACATTTTCTTCCCAAACAAGGTTACAATAAATCTGATAAAAGCCTGTATTGAGTCTTTACAGCTGGTTCAGCAACCAATCATCTAAGGAATCTTTTGCCAGGCACAGTGGTCACATCTATCACAAGAGATTGAGATCATGACACAAGGCCAGCCTGGGCAAAAAAGAAGTTTCAAGACTTCATCTCAATTAATGGCTGGCCTCAAACCTATGACTTTCCTATCTTAGTCTCTAGAGCACTGGGATTGTAGTCATGTACAACCAAGCCCAGATTTAACTTTTTCTTGGGGGGAGGGGCGCCTTGTCAAGGTCACCCACCAATGGTGGCTCCTGGGCTCAGTCCCTAGTCCGCAACTCCGACTTTTTCTGGGCCTGGAAACTGTCCCTGAGCTCTTCAGATCAAGGCCAGCGCTCTACCACTTGAGCCACAGCACCACTTCTGGTTTTCTGGTAGTTAGTTGGAGATAAGAGTTTCATAGACTTTTCTGCCCAGGCTGGCTTTGAAATGCGATCCTCATATCTCAGCTTCCTGAATAGTTAGGATTATAGGTGTGAGCTATTGGTGCCAGGCTCAGATTTAACTTTATCTTAATGAAGCAACTGGCTTCAAAATGAAGCCCCTGATTTAAGTAATTACTTTAAAACATCTGACCCACATGCTTTCCCACAGGTAACCTAGACCATACCTGGAGAGGGCCTGACAGCTGAACACTGGTGCCTCTGGCTGCAGTTTGCTAATTTGGCAGAGGCAAAAGCTCTAGCAGTGAAGTTGCCACAATGCAAAGGCAAGTTCCCCTCCTAGTGCACCTGCCTACCACACTGCCCCAGCAGGAGTCTGTGGACTCTGGAGTTGCTGCATTCTCAGGAAATGGAGAAAATGGCACAAGGAGTCCACCAACATTTCAGTATCAATGAGAAAACTCAGTAAAGACTTTAAAAAGTAGACAAATGTACAGCACAGAGCAGAGCAGAGACCAGGACGGAGTGCTGCCTGTCACACACGGGGTGAATCCCGTGCCAGCCGGCAGCTGTGCAGCACCCACCGCAGGGTGTGCTCCCAGGACAATGGAGTCGAAGGCCTGCTGAGCATCTCAGTGCCACTGGCTGGCCAGGAGCACGGGGAGACGCCTGCCTGACAAGGTGGAATGGGGGTGGTGGGACCCATCAGTACCGAAGAGCTCAGGAAAAGGGCAGGCAGCCCTCTATCTCTTCTTGACTCTCTTTCTCTCTCTCTTTTTTTCTGGGGCCTGAACTCTGGTCCTGGGCGCCATCGCTTAGCTCTTCAGCTCAAAGCTAGCGCTCTTACCATTTGAGCCATAGCACCACTCCAGCTTTTTCTGCTTATGTGGTGCTGAGGAATTGAATCCAGGACCTCATACATGCAAGGCAAGCGCTCTACCACTGAGTCACCTGCCCAGCCCCTCCCCCTCCCCCTCCTCCTTTTTTGTACCAATCTGGGACTTGAACTCAGGGTCTGGGCGCTATCCCCAAGGTTTGTTGCTCAAGGCTAATTAAGGTTCTACCATTTGAACCACAGGTCCATTTATGGCTTTTTGGTGGTTAATTGGGGATAAGATCTCATAGACTTTCCTGCCTGGGCTAGCTTTAATCCATGACTCTCTACACTTTGGGGTGGTTCAGAGACAAGCAATCAGTAGCAGCACATGAACTGCTTGAATGAAAGCTCACGCTACACACGCTGCATGTCTCCCCACGCTGGGCTCTCTTCCTGGGGCTGAGGAGGCACAGACGTGCTCTGTCTGCTCCAGGGCACACTGCCTTGTCTAACGGAAAGGTCACAGAGAGCTTCTCCATATTCACAAGGAGTGGCAGAGACAGCTGCACCTACAGTACTATTTCAAGCGACTCTGGTGGCAATTTCTTAACACCCTACAATTCCTCGTGTTCTGAAAACCTGCAAACTGTAGGCAGTGGGCAACGTGAAGGTTCTTAGAAACTTAAGGAGCCCGTGTAGTCTCCTGTGATCCAGCAACTGACAAACATCAGCCAAGAATTCACCCATGGTGAATGTGTGGAGGGCATTCTGTCAGCTACATCCTGACTTGTTTTTTTTGTTGTTGTTGTTGGTCATGGGGCCTGAATTCTGGGCCTGGGCGCTGTCCCTCAGCTCTTCAGCTCAAGGCGAGCGCTCTACTACTTGAGCTACAGCACCACTTCTGGTTTTCTAGTGGTTTCTTGGAGATCAGAGTCTCACGGTCTTTCCTGCCTGGGCTGGCTTTGAACTGAGATCCTCAGCTCTCAGCCTCCTGAGTTGCTAGGATTACAGGCGTGAGTCACCGGCGCCCGGCTCTGACTCGGTTTTATGGCAATCACAGGAGACACTGTACCTAGTTGGGAGAGGTCCAGCTTCGTCCAGTGCATGCCTGTAGGGCAGCTCTTAGACAGGGTCCTGATAAACACCTGGCCAAGGTAATCCAAGGCCCACAGCGCATCCTGGCAGGCAGCGTAGGCCCTCATCTCGGCGTCGGGGGGCAGCTGCACGGTGGAGGGGCGGCACTGTGGGCTCTGGGCACTGACGCTGCACAGGTCCTTGCTGCTCTGGCATAGCCACAAGGAGCTTCCTGTGGAAAAGGTTCATATTTGTCATTGCTTGCTGCCTGCCCCAGGCCACCCCTGTCCTGTCTGAAGGCAACCTTTGCTACTTGGCTGGGTACGCTGGCTCACGTACTTGAACCCACACAACGGGAGGGCGGGAGCTGCCATGCACTTCTAAATTACCGGGAAAGGCTATGACCAGCACTTAAGATCACAGCTGAGGTATTTTTAAAAATGGAAAGAAAGCAGAGCATATGAGATTCAATAAAGGCTATGATGTTGGCATAGCATCTCTGACCCATTTATAATGGGCTGTGAAGTCTTTTTTTTGTTGGTCGCAGGGCTTGAACTCAGGGCCCACACACTGTCCTTGAATGCTTCCATGCAAGGCTATCATTCTACCACTTTGAGCCACAGCTCCACTTCTGGTGTTTGGGTGATTAATTGGAGATAAAGAGTCTTTCTTGTCAGGAATTGGGATCTTCAGATCTCAGCCTTCTGAGTAGCTAGGATTATAGGCATGAGCCACAGCTCCCAGCCTGGAAGTCTTTAATTAGAATAAAGCCTTTCTTTTTGGCAGCATTGGGATGTGAATGCAGGGTCTCAACTTGCTTTGCTGGTGCTCTCCTATCTCTTCACCTCTCCCTTGCCTATGGATGTAGGCTTCGGCTCAGCCACTTGGGTTGGCCAACAACATTGCCACAGCCCCATGAGGACAGACAGACAGCAGCCTGAACTTTTTCAACTGCTAACCCTTGAGCTAGATTTCTCAAGCAGGCAAAGACTGACTGACCGTCCTTGGAGGGTGCAGTGGAAGCCAACACGAAGGCCCATTTTGTTGCAGAAGCTGTCCCCCGGGGAACAACGTTTTCCCAGTGAGTCCCTGCCAAGAATAAATAGGAAGACTGCATTAAAAGGAGAAAATACTTCAGAATTTTGGTTATTTTTTTTTTTTTAGGTGTGGGACCTGAACTCTGGGCCTGGGCGCTGTCCCTCAGCTCTTCAGCTCAAGGCTAGCGCTCTACCACTTGAGCCACAGCGCCACTTTCAGCTTTTTCTCCTTATGTGGCGCTGAGGAATCGAACCCAGGGCCTCATGCATGCAAGGCAAGCACTCTACCACTGAGCTACCTTCCCACTTCTGGTTTTCTTTTTGGTACTAGGCTGTGAACTCAAGGCCTGCCACTTGATTAGTTGATACTCTGCCACTTGAATCATGCCTCCAGGGGCTGGGAAGGTGGCTCCAGCCTGGCTTTTTGTGGTTATTTTGTTGGAGATGGAATGTTATGAACTTTTTTTTATCTTTTGTCAGCTATGGGGCTTGAACTCTGGGCCTGGGCGCTGTCCCTCAGTTCTTCAGCTCAAGGCGAGTGCTCTACCACTTGAGCTACAGCGCCACTTCCGGTTTTCTGGTGGTTTATTGGAGATAGGAGTCTCACGGTCTCTCCTGCCAGGGCTGGCGTTGAACCGCGATCCTCAGATCTCAGCCTCCTGAGTAGCTAGGATTACAGGCGTGAGCCACCAGCGCCCGGCTCACTTCTTCTTGACTACTGTCAAGAAGAGCCACATCTTGCCCAGAGAGGCCACACAGGGAAGAGAATACACAGATGTCCTCCTGGGCAAGAAATTCAACAGTGGTCATAATTATTCTCTTATCTTTTTCTCTAGATTTCAAATTTTTTTATTCTGTGAAATTATTAACATAAAAATGAGCCAGAGGGCTGGGAAGGTGGCTCAGTGGTAGAGCACTTGCCTTGCATGCATGAGGCCCTGGGTTCAATTCCTCAGTACCACATAAGCAGAAGAAGCAAGAAGTGGCACTGTGGCTCAAGTGGTAGAGCGCTAGTCTTGAGCTGAAGAGCTGAGGGAAAGCACTCAGGCCCAGAGTTCAGGCACAACAACAACAACAACAACAACAAAACAAAGAAGAGCTGGAGCTGGTGGCTCACACCTATAATCCTAGCTACTGATAAGGCTAACATCTGAGGATCATGGTTTAAAGCCAGCCTGGGCAGGAAAGTCTGTGAGACTCTTATCTCCAATGAGCCATCAGAAAACTGGAAGTGGCGCTGTAGCTCAAGTGGTAGAACGCTGGCCTTAAGCTGAAGAGCTGAGGGACAGCGCCCAGGCCCAGTGTTCAAGCCCCACAACCACTACCCACCACCACCACCAACAAAACGATGGTAAAGAAAAACTAGGAGAGGGGCTGGGAAGTTGGCTCAGTGGTAGAATGCTTGCCTTGCATGCCTGAGGCCCTGGGTTCGATTCCTCAGCACCACATAAGCAAAAAGGAAAAAGCTGGAAGTGGCACTGTGGCTCAAGTGGTAGGGCACTAGCCTTGAGCTGCAGAGCTGAGGGATAGCGCCCAGGCCCAGAGTTCAGACCCCACAACCGGGCCAAAAAAAGAAAAACTAGGAGAGAGTAAGAGGAGCCACTGTCACAAAGAAATGTCCTCTTACTTGACTTATGTAACTATAAACCTCTGTATATTGCTTTTATAATAACAACAAAAAAAGAGCTCCAGCTGGGTGCTGGTGGCTCATGCTTATAATCCTAGCTACTCAGGAGGCTGAGGTCTAAGTATTTCGGTTCAAAGCTAGCTTAGGCAGGAGAATCCGTGAGACTCTTATCTACAATTAACTTCCAAAAAAGCTGGAAGTGGAGTTGTGGCTCAAGTAGTAGAGCATTAGCCTTGAACAAAAAAGCTCAGAACAGTGCCCAGGCCTTAAATTCAAGCCCCAGGAACACCAAAAATAATTAAAAAGCTCCATTTGTTTTCCTTATATCTCAATAGATTCTCATAACAAACTGATTGCATTCTATCCAGACCAAGTTTTAGGAATAATAGATTGAAATAAAAAAAAAAGAGAGAACAAATGACCACAAAGAATAGAGAACCTTTCTCACAGGCACTTCTATCTGTGGTGCTGCAGCACCACTTCAAGTTGAGATCTTAAAAGCTATTCTTAAACATGTGAGGCCCCAGCACTGCAAGTTAAAAAAAAAATTTGTGTTAGTTGTGGGGCTTGAACTCAGGGTCTAGGAGCTGTCCCTGAGCTTTTTTTGCTCAAGGCTAGTGCCGTATCACTTTGAGTCACAGTGCCACTTCCAGTTTTTCTGGGGTTGACTTACACACTTTATTGCCTGGGCTGGCTTTGAACCGCAGTCCTTAGATCTCAGCCTCCTGAGTAGCTAGGATTACAGGCGTGAGTCAGTGGTGCACAAATTCTAAAAAAACAATATGCATATATGTATATATAATATATAATATGCATATATATATATATATATAAAAGCTTCCTATAAACCTCACCAACATAAACACAAAGGTAATCTACCCACCTATAAGGCTTCCTCTGGCAACATGGAATTCATTCTTGCCTGAGGAGATCCAAACACCGCTGTTGTTGACCCCCAGCAGGCTGGGCTGGCACTGAAGCTGCTGGGACCAGAATGCCATGCGCAGTTTATCTGCTACCTTTTCCACAGGCACTTGGGCTGCGGTGGCCACGGAGTGGGTGGCATGGATGATGGTCTGGAATAAGCTGCACTGGTCGAACACCACATAGTCTGTGATGCTCACCTGCAGGAGGAACGTCAAAGCCCACTGTCAGTGCAGTCGCAGGAGTCCACCTGCCCCCAGGGCAGGTTCCACATATCCACAGCCACGAGACAACTGGGCATGCACACACACCTGCACAGGGACGGCAGAGCTAGCAGAACACCTGACAGCTATTATACATCCAAAGGTTGGTATGTTATGTTAAGTGGATCTGTTGAAACAAGCAACAGTACCCTTTCACATTCTGTCTACTCAGAGTGAGAAAGGATAATTTTGCTTTTAAACGCAGGTGTTTCCAACTGACAATGGCATATAAGACTTAGAATCATAGTATGAGCTTTCAAAGGTATGCCAGTGTGTTGATGAAATAATTTATGTTGTTATCTGGGACTACCAGCTTAGACCAGAACAATCCCAGGCATCTCGAAGCCACTTGGCTGCTCTACCGTGTAACTCACCTTGGAGACATTCCTAAAAAGCATCTGCACATACACCTCTAGAGAAATCCTTTATGGCAACTGTCTTCTCCAGGGGAACTTGTCCTTGCTGGGCAGCCGAGTCTGAGAGTTCACTATGAGACAGGTCAAAGCCTGACTCCACATGACTTTCATACCTTTCCAAGTTGGGTTCGATTATAAAAACAAAACCAGAAAAAAGGCCTGGGAAGGTGGCTCAATGGTAGAGCACTTGCCTTGCATGCTCGAGGCCCTGGGTTCGATTCCTCAGCATCACATAAGCAAAAAGAAAAAAGCCGGAAGTGGCGCTGTGGCTCAAGTGGTAGAGCGTTAGCCTTGAGCTGAAGAGCTGAGGGACAGCGGCCAGGCCCAGAGTTCAGACCCACGACGGGACCCCCCCCCCAAAAAAAAAAACCCAGCACAAATACCCAGCTTTTTTACTTTAAGTCACTTGTTTATGACACATACACACACGTGTCCTCTCTGGTCTATGGAAGGACACTGGCTGGCCCTAGCTAAAGCGGCTGTAGGTAGTTTCTGCCACGCCAGCCCCTGCTTGAGCTCTCAGTCACCCTGGCCGTGTGGATCCTGTAGGTCTAGCCCTGCTCAAAGGCGCATATGCAGTGTGTGATAGGCGGCTGGGAGCTCTGTACTGCAAACATTCCTCTCACCAGGCAGCAGAGGTTTTGCCAAGGCCACAGGCCAATGCACAGATTTGGTTCTAGCTCCCAAGATAAGCACACAAAGGGGTTGCCAATTGAAAGAGAAAGGTTTAGCAGCCAACTAGTAACACTGACCCCAGTTCTATAAAGGAACCTCACAGAGTCTCTAAAATAACTCTTCCAAGTACCTCAAGATGGTCCTCTTAAGTTAATTTTCTCATAATGCTCTGAATACTACAGTAAAATCATATTGAGTTTTCCTTATCACTACTTTAAAAACAGAATTTAGTAATACATAATGTACACATATACCTGTATTTGCATGTGTGTATGTTATGTATGGTTTTTAAGTATACAACATGTATTTTAATATGTATTATGTATTACCAAATATGGCCTAGAATTTAACTCAGAGACATAGTACACAATATACATGGTCATCAAGTAGCAAATCTGACTTGTTTTCCTGCATTTTCATCTGAAAGATTTTAGTCAGACAAGCCAGAGCAAGACAAGCCTCAGGTCAAGTGAACCAATGGAGGCACAAGATGTAAGACGGCACATTTCACATGTGCCAGAGCGACCTTCGCCCATGGAGGGAGACGAGGAGCAGTACCAAATGGTACCAACCAGAGAACGTGGAGATCCTCTGGTGTTCCTGCCCCAGGTCCCACTGGCCAGGATGTACCACACAGAAAGATAACGGGATCCAGCCTCCCATTTCTCACAGCATGCTCCTCTCTGGGAACATGTGGGAAATTCTCCTTTGTTAAAATGCCATTTACTTGGAGGCTTTTCGGGCACACAGAGAAGAATGAATTTTAATTGTTCCTAACCTATTGTCTAGGCCCCTTTCTTAACACATTTGTACAGATTTAAACATCATTATTACCTCGATCTTCAAATGGATGTCACTGGGTTTATCTAATCTATAATGCTGAATGTCTAAATAACACCTAAATAAATAATGCCTGTATTATTTATGCGAGAAACATTTGCAAGTTATTTCCTATGATGAAAAGTCCTTGGCTGGGCGCTGGTGACTCAGGCCTGTGATCCTAGCTACTCAAGAGGCTGAGTGAGATCTGAGGATCATGGTTTGAAGCCAGCCTGGGGCAGGATAATCTGTGAGACCCTCATCTCCAATTAACCACTCAAAAATCAGAAGTGGAGCTGTGGCTCAAAGTGATAGAGTGCTAGCTTTGAGCAAAAGAGGGACAGTGCCCAGGCCCTGAGTTCAAGCTCCACAACTGACAAAAAAAAAGTCCTTGATTTTTTTTTTTTTGTCGGTCGTGGGGCTTGAACTCTGGACTTGGGTACTGTCCCTCAGCTCTTCAGCTCAAGGTGAGCACTCTACTGCTTGAGCCACAGCGCCACTTCTGGTTTTCTAGTGGTTTATTGGAGATAAGAGTCTCTCAGACTTTCTTGCCTGGACTGGCTTTGAACCATGATCTTCAGATCTCAAGCCTCCTGAGTAGCTAGGATTACAGGTGTGAGCCACTGGTGCCCAGCTGATGTTTTTGTTGTTGTCATCGTTGCTTTTGTTTTTGTACCAGTCTGGGTGCTATCCCTGAGCTTTTGTGTTCAAGGCTAGCACTCCACCACTTGAACTACAGCTCCACTTCTGGCTTTTTTGGTGCTTAATTGGAGATAAGAGTTTCTCAGACTTTCCTGCCTTGGCTAGCTTCAAACAGTGATCCTCAGCTCTCAGCCTCTTGAGTAGCTAGGATTACAGGCATGAGCCACTGGGGCCTGGCTCTTGGCGTTTTTAATGCATTCAAACGTAGGAAAGTTTAACCCAAATAGTAAAGATGAACAGTAAGCCAATTCCTTAAGGAAAAGAGAGGAGGTAGGAAGAGGGAGGATTTCCAGGTCAGGGAGCCCTGGCACCTACCTGCCACCAGTGGTCATCGTCCCCTTGGGGCTTCTTTGGAACCACTCCAGTTCTGAACCACAGCTTACCGTGGATGTCCAGGGCCCACAGAGTGTGCTGGTCCCCAAGGGTAATGCAGACAGGCTCCAAAGCTTGCCTTTCACTGAAAATGAGCAGGAGCACACCAGAGTCAGTCTCCTTAGTAGGCAGAGGGTCACCTTCCTGAGTGTCTCTGGGGAGGCTTGGTGTAGAGAAGAAATATGCCCCTACTCCCCGGCGAGGACGATCAAGTGCCAGGGAAGGAGGTGTGAGTTTGAGAGACACTGCCATACACATAAACTGTGCAGGCGTGTGGCAGCGTCTGAAAGACATACAGAAGGCCCACTAATGGAGCAAGAGCAAACCACCTAAGGCCCATGAGCTACTCTCTCTCTTCCTAAGAAGATGACTGTCAACAACCCCACATGCCAGGCTGTGTTATATAGGTGTTCCTGAGCAGACACTACCCTCTCTGTTAGGTCTGCTTCCCCTCCCCTCCCCCATCTGGGGTGTCCCTGTCTGCTTCAAAGCTTGGCTGTGGCCTCCTCTGGCATGCTGCTACCCCGGTCCCTGCGGGCAGGCGGGCGAACCTCGTGGTGCCACACGCTCTGCACCTTGCTCAGAATCCTCTGTCCTAAGTGTTATTTGTTGGGTATGTGGCTCCCCACCAGATGGGCAATGGATGAGGGAGGGCTGGCTCTTGGCCACCTTGGCACACCTAAGCCCCAGATACTCCCAGGTGCTCCCTGATTGCTCACTGGCTGGCTAACTCCATCCTGATCTAAGGACTATTTTGTTGTTGTTGTTGTTGGTCCTGGGGCTTGAACTCAGGGCTTGGGCACTGTCCCTGAGCCTCTTTGTACTCAAGGTTAGTGCTCTACCAATATTGAGCCACAGCTCCACTACAGGCTTTTTCTGAGTAGTTTATTGGAGATAAGAGTCTCATGGACTTTTCTGCCTAGGCTGGTTTTGAACCATGATCCTTAGATCTTACTCAGCCTCCTGAGTAGCTAGGATTACAGGTATGAGCCACTGGCACCAGGCTTAAGGACTAATTTTGAATGGTAAAAAAGAAAGCTAGTAAGTTACAGGCTCAAGGATCAATTTTCATTGACCAGATGGAGATACAAAAAAGAATTTGAACTATACCATCATTGATTCTGAACAGGGTCACACAAGAACAGCTATGTTTTTCAAAATGAGCTCTGTTCTGTTGGCAGAGTTGGACACAGTGTCCCTAGGACCAGACTGCTGACACCTTGAGAGAACCTTCAGGTGTCTGGTGGAGAGTCATGCTGATAAAAACACAGAGAGGAGAAGGCACGTGGTGCCTCCTAGGCCCCTACCTGACGATGTCACACTTCCACTGCTCCCCCTCAGGACAGAAGCTGCTCACGCCCTCCCGGTACAGGAGGGCCCTCTGTTCTGTGAGTGCCCATACCACACTGTTCCTGGCAGTGATCTGGGAGAGCGGGTATGGACAGTCGACTTTCACAGCTCGAGCACAGGGGCGATCCACACTGAGACCTGCCAGCCAGAGGGAAAGGAAACCAAAGCCTCACCAGCAGCACTTCTTTTATTATTTATTTATTTTTATTATTTATTTTATTCATTTTGGCCAGTCCTGAGACTTGAACTCAGGGCCTGGGCGCTGTCCCTGAACTCTTTTGCTCAAGGCTAGTGCTCTACCACTTGAGCTACAGCTCTATCTACTTCTGGGTTTTTTGGGTGGTTAATTGGAGATGAAGAGTCTCACAGACCTTCCTGCCCAGGCTGGCTTTGAACTGTGATCCTCAGATCTCAGCTTCCTGAATAGTTAGGATTATAGGCGTGAGCTACTGGCACCTGAATGCCATCAGTATTTGAGACCACTGTGTATTGCATTCTTTTTTTTTTGTCAGTTGTGGGGCTTGAACTCTGGGCCTGTCCCTTAGCACTTCAGCTCATGGCAAGCGCTCTACCACTTGAGCCACAGCGTCACTTCCAGTTTTCTGGTGGTTCATTGGAGATAAGTCTCACAGACTTTCCTGCCTGCGCTGGCTTTGAACCGTGATCTTCAGATCTCAGCCTCCTGAGTAGCTAGGATTGCAGGTGTGAGCCACCAGCACCCAGCTTGTGTATGCATTCTTATTTTTCAGTACTTTGCTATGTCCTTTGACAAACCTTTTTAAGGTTTAGTCAACAGAAAAGGGTACATTCAACTTCGATGTCACAATCAATATGAGACCTCCTTTGGAAATCAAGGGAGTATCATTTAGAGTGGGACCTTTGAGACTGGGAAGCTGAGGCAGAACAGCAGCACCTCCTGGCCAAGTGCACAGGGGCCGCCTTCTGCCAGGACGCTGTGCTGCCCAGTCACTGCTACTGGAGCCTTCAGCTCTCCTCTGTACAGCTGCTCCGAAGACTAGTTCCTCTTTCCTAGGCTTCAGCAAATGAAATCTGAGGTCCACCATCATGCTAGGCTGTGGCAGGACCAGCACTCTAGGGCTCTTTCCTTCACCCCACTGTGGCCTCAGTAATGTGTATCTATGAGCTCAAAGGCTACTTCCAAGGGAGCTGGCAAAACAAGACTGCCTCAGCCTGCAATTAGGTCTTAGTACTATAATCACAAAAGCATCCATGGTCAACCATAGATGGTTTTCACCTATTGGACTTCCTGTTCAAACTCTTGTGCCAACCCCTGGAGGCTTAACACTCCACAGGTCCACTGCCCTGGTGATTGCTCTGCTACTACTGCTCCTCATCCCCAGGCCCCAGTGTGGTCTCCTTGTCATGCCAACACCAAAACTGAAATGTCCTGGAAGCTAGATACGCAAGTGAGCTGCCAGAGCTATTTTCAGTGGATAAAAGGCACAGAATGGGGCTGGAGGCCAGCACTAACACATGGCTTCCCTCAGGGCTGAAAGTTCCTCCACACCTGGGAAGGAGTCAAAGAGCCAAGGCCTTCAATCTCAAGAGTCATTCCAGTGAGGGTCCTATGAGAAACTGCTCTCAGAAGCAGCATATTAGATGGTTGGAAGATGGATTGTTACGTAAATCCAATATGGGCACTAGACAACTCAAACACAACTTGTGCCCCTAGTCCTTCCTAGTCCCGACAGATTACACTGCTGCTGGCAAACCATTTCCCATGTGTGCACAGTAAACAAACACTGGCTCATTATAGTTTATTTTTAATAAACAAGTCCCACATGCCACTTCTAGCAGCTCAAGGTTTCCCTAAGGGCAGTTTCCTAGGGCAAGTTGAAGTGCTATTTAGAGAAACTTATTTTCACCTGACCCACATGTAAACATGAGCGTTAAGAGTTGAGCTTTGGCTTGGCTGGAAAAAAAAATCCAGTTACTTAAGCCTCCAGGGGAAAATGATTCTAGTACCATTTTTTTATTTTGGGCAGCATTGGTTTGAACTCAGGGCCTCAGGATTGCTAGGCAGGTGCTCTACCCCTTGGGCTATTCCTCTAGACTCCTATCATCATTCTATTATTCTTTCCTCAAAGACTATACACTGCAGGCATGAGATATGTGATGGTCAACTGTGATGAGAGTAAGATTCTACTTTTGTAGCTCATGAAAAAACCATACTGATTCCTGCCCTAATTTTGTGCTACTGTGTTAGAGGAACAGGAAACTACTAACACATTCCATGGCAAACACTGTCTTTCTAGAACCTTTTCTTTTTTTTTTTTGGGACCGGTCATGGGGCCTGAATTCTGGGCCTGGGTGCTGTCCCTCAGCTCTTCAGCTCAAGGCTAGCGCTCTACCACTTGAGCCACAGCGCCACTTCTGGCTTTCTTTCTTTTTGCTTATGTGGTGCTGGGGAATCGAACCCAGGGCCTCAGGCATGCAAGGCAAGCGCTCTACCACTGAGCCACCTTCCTAGCTCTAGAACCTTTTCTTAATTCTCATTAGTTGTGAGCCTCTGATTTTGTGACTGTTGCTGCATGTGGCTAGCTGAGCAGGTATGGCGAGAGGCAAGGTGGCCTCGTGGGGCTGGGGCTACCTGTCTGCAGGTACAGGTCTCCATTGGTCCTGATGATCCAGGCTGTGTCGTCACTCAAGGCCACAAACACTGCCTGAGGCAGGGCTTCATACCAATGTCGCTTCCCCTTGATGGTAACTTTCCCGCAAGCGAAAGCACGGTTAGATTTCTGTTCAATCTTCCAGAGGAGAGCACCTGTGGTAATAAAAATTCTATTCAATGCCAACAAATTTGAAATTACCTAAGCAGAGACATTTTTCTAGGCACTATAAGGGTCAGATTCCTAAAACACTCTTTGTTGCTTACTTGCCACTGTGCCAAGGTTTGTACTTTGGGCCAGTGCCAAGAAGCTGTGTGAATTTGGGCATCACATGCCTTCGTGTGTCCAGGCCTCGTTTTCCTCATCTGTGAACTGAGCTATCCCCTAAAGGCTGAAGGTGAGGAGACCCAGCAGTGGGGGACTGGGAAGAGCAGTGATGACACCATCCATCGGATGAGGGTGAGTGCCCCAGTAGACAAGGTCTAACACAGTGTTTGCCCAAGGCCTGGCTAGGGATTCAAAAGAGGGACAGCTTCTGACCCAGCTACACAGAAGAGCTGCATCTAAGCTAGGTGGAGTTCTGACAAACAAATGAAGGAGGGGAGGCAGAAAGAGGAAATGGGGAGAGCACTGTGGATGGGAGGCCCAGGCAAGAAATCACCTTGACTGAGCATGAGGTGAGCCAGACCGCAGGATCTGCATCCCCTCCTCCCAAACAAGACATGGCGCAAGGGTTCTGGGACCCCCTGCAGATCTGAGTCCCTAAGGACAGCTGAGAATGTTAATGTCACTGAGACACAGAGTTGAGACCAGAGCAACAAGGGACTGATCAAACAGTTGGGAAAATAGGAAGTAATTAAGACAATCAAGAGTGAACCAAAGTTTCTAAGTCACTAGGGAGATGAACCCCAAGGTAAAAAGGTAGAAACAAGAAAAAAAAATGAAGCCCTGTAATCATATCACACAGTAATAGTGGTTATTATCTCTATAGCTCAGCCTGTCTCCATGGAGCAGTGACAAGAAGGGTCACTGCACAGTAGGCAAGGACTCTGACTTCTTGTTAGCACACTGGAACAGAAGCTGAACAAGGCTGAATCTATGCCTCTGGACCCATTTTCTGAAATTTCACTGTGAACTTTCCATAATTAACCCTCTGTCACCATGTAAAATATTAGTTCTGTGACACTGACAAGTGGAAATACATGTAGCTTTTATAAGGACTAAGTATGTTAATGTCTAAAACCCATCAAAACACAAATTATTTATAAGCTTACAAAAATACGTGCAAGTGGTATCACTGCAATTACTTAAAAAACAGGAATGGAAGTGGTGGTGCAGGCCTGTAAGCCCAGCTACTTGGATGGTGCAAATAGAAAGATCTGTGTCCAAGGAAAGCCCAGGAAGAAGCTCAGAGACAAACTAAAAACCAAAAGGCCTGGATGTATGGCTCACGTGGTAGAGTACCTGCCTAGCAACTAGTGAGGAGCCCTGAGTTCAGTCTCCAGTACCATCAAACCAGGACAAAACAATAGCAAAAACATTAAAATAAATAAGAACAAAAACAGCACTCAAGCTGAGTACCCATTATAATACTAGTTAACATAAAAGGAAACAACTCCTGATCGTTGAAGAACTTGCCCCAGACCACTGGATGGCCTGTGTGCTGATGGCGCAGGAGACTTGATGAGAGATGGGGCTAGAAGCAGGAAGCCAAGAAGGCAAACCTGAAGGGGAGACCGCCACCTGCTGGACAGCATCTTCAAACTTCTGCCAGCGCAGCCCAGCTCCAGGCAGTGCACTGCAGAACAGGCCACCTTTGTAGTCCAGGCACCAAATATACTTCTCGGACACCGCCAAGCTGAGTATGCCATAGCCAGGACCCGAGTAGCCCATCCAGCTCTCTGCAAACTAACAAGGACAGAGTGGTGAGTTCTGTGGCAAGTATCTAGCTGCATTTGTCATACTGCTGTCATCAAGAAAAGTGGGCAGAAGGCTTAAAACGATACAGCTGAACTGATCTTTGAGAAGCCTTACTGAGATAACCCTCTTTTATTCTATCTCTGGGATAGAAAATGTGGCCCCTGGAAAAGGCTGTAGTATCCCTGGATAATGTTTTTCACATTGTAACGTCCTTCCAAAGTAGTGCTCAGAGCATATGTTGATTGAGACCTAGTCTCTTAAACTTTTATGATAGGATTGGCCTTTCCATCTCTGCTTCCTGGATAGATAGGATTATAGGCCTGAACCTGGCTTGCATTGGATTTTCTTTTTTGCCAGTGCTGGGGCTTGAACTCAGGGCCTGAGCACTGTCCCTGAGCTTCTTCTTTTGCTCAAGGCTAGCACTCTACCACTTGAGCCACAACACCGCTTGAGGCCTTTTCTGTGTATGTGATACTGAGAAATCGAATCCAGGGCTTCATGCATGCTAGGAAAGCACTAAGCCACATTCCCAGCCAGTGTTGGTTATTTTTGATCTGGGTTCATTCTGTAGCATGCCTCACTTTACACATGGGTGTTTTTACCTCTCCTTGCATGTAAGCTGACTTACAGCAGATGTACTGGAAGAGCAGCATTATCACTGCCCAGTTTTTCCCGTAATTCTGCAAGCACTGTTCCAACCCTCACACTCAAGAGTATCTTGTGGGAACTGCTGGCAGAAGGTTGGTTGAAGGCAATGAATTTGTAGACTAAAGTTTTCTTGCTAGAACTTCTTTTTTTCCCTTTTTGCTGGTTCTGAAGCTTGAGGCTTCAGGTTCTGGGTGCTGTCCCCAAGCTCTTTTGCTCAAGGCTAGCACTCTACCACTTGAGACATAGCAACACCTCTGGCTTTTTTTTGTGTATGTGGTACTGAGGAATCAAACCCAGGGCTTCAAGAATGCTAGACAAACACTCTACCATTAAGGCACATTCCCAGCCTAAAAGTAATAGGTTTTCTTTTTTAAAAAAGAAATTTTTGTCTTTTCTCTTTTGGAAGTGAGGTTCGAACCCTGGACATTGCACTTGGCTATGTGAGTGCTTTGCCACTGAGCAAAGCTCTGGCCTTCTTTTCTTGTTCAATGCTTGCGCTCTATCATTTGAGCCATGGCTCCACTTCCAGCCTTTCGGGTAGTTAGCTGGAGATCAAAGAGTTTCGCAGACTTTCTGCCCAGGCTGACTTTGAACTTAGCCTCCTCAGTAGCTAGGATTTCAGGTGTGAGCCGTCAGTGCTAGGATTCTTTTAACAACAAAAACAGAAGCTAAATATACTTTAACAAATTTCCAGAAGTGCAAATGAAATCAACATATTTGCACAAATAAAGAAGATAAATGTTTCAAAGGAAATGGCACTCTCCCCTTTTTCATCTGGCTCTGCTCACTGTAGCAAGTCATAGCCTCGTCCCAACCCCCGAACTCCACAAAATGAGCTTTTCTGCTACCTGGAGCAGGACAGGTATGCTTAACATAAGGAGGAAAAGAATCAGTCTTGCCCAGGATTTTCCTTAAGAAACACCCCCCCCCACACACACACACACCAACCTTAGTTATGACTCCCACACACCTGGTCTGTCTTGAGCAGTGCAGCGTCATCTGGACCTGGCCGGCCCAGGTCCTGCAGAGAGTGACTAGCCCCAACCTCTGCCACGCTTGTCTCTGAGGATGACGATGGGAGTCCCTGCGCGTAGATGTCTTCATCATCACTGGATGCCAAGGCCGGGTCCTGGAAAGGCTGCTCCAGCCCGGCCTTGTGGGAGCTAGCCACCCAGGCAGGAGTCAGAGGGCTCAGCTGACTCCCCGCTACTTGGCATTCCAGAGCCGACAGTGCTTTTGGGGCTGTGTCGTCATTGTCATTGTTGCTGTCGTCATCATCAGGAACTGCATGCCAGGAATTTGTGGCAAGGAGGCTGGAGGTGCCCATCTGAGCCACGGCATCCTGGTCTTGGTTTGCCTCCTCAGTGCTGCCTCCATCAGCCAGGGCCCCGGGGAGCCACTGCCCAGCACTTGGAAGCCAGCTGAGGCAAGAAGGCACCATGCGCAAATCCACGAGGGGGCCCTCGGAAGTGCTGTAGGGCTCACTGGGCTCTACCTTCTCTACCTCGTGCGCTTCGGCAGAGCTGTTCTGGTCTCCAAATGGCAACGGTGTGGGGTCTGTGTTGTCATCTGCAGGACCAAAATCCCCTTCCAGTCCTGTAATGTCACCGGCTGCCACACCCTCCCTTGGGGGCGAGAGTGAATGCCAGGCTCCATTGAGCAGCCCCACTTCACACGTGTGGAGACGCTGTGCAATTTCAGGCCTAGTGTCCTCCTCTTCGTGCAGTACATCAGGGGCGCATTCTGGAACCTCCAGGACACTGAATGCTTCAGGGTCATTATTTTCCTGTGAGACACCATTCACCTCCCCACTGAAGGTGCTCTCCTGGTCGGGAGACTCTGTACTCAGGTGGTCCATGCTGCTGCCCAGAACACTGGAAGTCATGGACAGCAGGTCTGTGTGCAGAGACTGTGGGCTGTCAGCAGGAAATTCGGAGCAGGGGGTTGAGTCCAGGGAACTGTGACACGTGTTCTTATTTCCACCTTCTAATTTAAAATGAGAACATTAAAATAAGACATGATTCTACATAAATGGCAAGAGTACATTAAAAAAGTTTTTTTGGCTTAAGAAGAAAAAATTCTGGCAATATTAGGGTTTGAACTTAAAGCCTCACATTTTTTAGGCAAGTGCTCTACCTCTTGAGCCATTCTGCCGGCCCCTTTTTATGTTGGCTATGATCAAGATAAGGTCTCTCTTTGTGCCTAGGCTGGCCTAGAGTAAGCCTAATTGTTTGTCATCTTTTATCACTAGAATGATAGGCATGTATGACAGTGACTCCCTGAGGGCTGAAATAAAAGGCATGCACTACTGTATCCAGTCATTGGATGAGATGGAGTTTCATGAACTTTTATGATCTGGTTGGCCTTGAACCTTGATCTTTCAATCTCTGCTTCCTGAGTCGCTAGGATTACAGGCTTGCACCACCACACCTAGCTTGCACAGTGTATTTTTGATAGGGCCTTGCTTCTTGACCAGGCACATGCCTGGACTATTTTTTACTTCCTGATAAAGTTGAGATGACAGGCATGATCCACCACACCCAGCTGCAGGTTAGAAGGACTCTGACCAGTACAGTGTGTGACCAGTTTGCCTCAAAACATGATCTTCCTAATTTCAGCCTCTCTAGCTAGGATTATAGCTACTTGACTGGCTCTGGCTGAAAAAAAAATTTTTCCCCCTTATATGTGCCGTTTACTTTGAAAAAAGTACTTTGAATGAAGGAGGTAAAGAATAATCTCTTTATCCCAACAAAAGGATGTTTTATAGCGACGCAAGTATCATATACACCTACTGTCTCGGAGGCCTCACTCCAGACATGCTAACGCGGTGGAAAGTCAACAAAGGGCATGCTCAGCTGGCTCACAGGCCAATTTTTTTAATTATCAGAATTCTTAGGAGTGCATGCCTATCAAGTGCAAAGCCCTGAGTCCAATCCTTAGAGCTGTGAAAAAAAAAAATGTGTAGGAATCTCATATCTGATTTCCTTTAATACTCCAGTAGCTAGAGAAAAGTTAGAGGAATATAAAGTTTAAAAAGCTAAAAAAAAAAAAAGTTCAATGGCTAGGAAGGTGGCTCAGTGATAGAGTGCTTGCCTTGTATGCATGAGGCCCTGGTTCGATTCCTCAGCCCCACTTAAGCAGAAAAAGCCAGAAGTGGCACTGTGGCTCAAATGGTAGTATGCTGGCTGTGAGCTGAAGAGCTGAGGGACAGCGCCCAGGCCTAGAGTTCATACCCCACGACTGACCAAAAAAAAAAAAAGTTCAAATGTCCCATGTGTACACCTTCCAAATCCATGTTTATGGACTTTTTGATCTAGTAAATAGCATTCACAGATAAAGCAACATTTTGAATTTAAATATTAAAAAGAATGAGGGCTGAGAATGTGGCTTAGTGGTAGAGTGCCTGCCTAGAAGGTATGAAGTCCTGAGTTGGATACCTCAGTACCACATAAACAAATAAGCCAGAAGTGGTGCTGTGGCTCAAGTGGGAGAGTGCTAGCCTTGAGCAAAAAGAAGCTCAGGGACAGTGCCCAGGCCCTGAGTTCAAGCCCCAGGACTGGCAAAAAATAAAACAAAAATAAAAAGAATGCACTTAGACTACAAGTAGGGATGATACACAGATGAAATGTTCTGCAATCACTCACATCTTACAAAGCTTCTTTGTGTGTGTCTGGGTATTCTTTGTTGGTTGGTGACACATTTCACAGTGAAAGTCCTCTGGGAGGCATGGGTTCACTTTCTGAAGGCCTCTGCTTTTCCCTGAATGGGCAAGAGGCCATTCAGTGAACAGCAGCAGTCCCAGCCTGTGTCTATCTCCACAGGGTCAAGTCAAGCCACGCCAGCCAGCGGACACTGCATAGACACTACCTGTCCTTCTCTTCTTCTTCTTCTTCTTTACTTTGATAGGTTTCACAATGAGTTCCTGGTCAAAATCTTCTGAGCTGATTACACTGAACCTCTGTGAGGAGGGCTGGTTGCTTTTGCACAGCTCAGGGCCCTGCTGGAGCCCAGGTGGCAGCAGCCCCGAACCACTGTCAGTGGAGTTGAGTGAGCTGCTCCTGCTCCGAGGCTCACTGGCCACAGAGCTCGCCACAGAAGAGCCTGGAAGTCTTGTCTCAGACACTGCAGCCCCCAGTGGCTTCTCCAGACGCTGTACGTGTGCTTGCTCTGAACATCGCGACATCTCCGGACCATCTCTCACTGAGGAGGAAGAAGAGAGCAGATTCACTACTGATTCTCTAGGAGAATCAGTACTTAATTCAGTTTGCTGGCTCTAAACACCAGCCAGCACAGAACCAAGGTACCAGCCTGATGAAGAAATGAGCAATTCTAATTTTTACAGAAACAAAACTCAACCACATAGAGATTCTAAGTGGTTTTTATTCTCTAGGGAGCTCATATACCAAAAGGGGGGATACCCGCCTAGCCAGCCAGATAAGCTGAATCAACCCTAGACATCAACATCCTTCAGTATGGCTTAATTAGTACTCAAAGGGTGTTTGAAAACTACATGTGTAGGGCTGGGAAGGTTGCTCAGTGGTAGAGTGCTTGCCTTGCTTGCATGGGGCCCTGGTTCGATTCCTCAGCACCCCATAAGCAGAAAAAGCCAAAGTGGTGCTGTGGCTCAAGTGGTAGAGTGTTAGCCTTGAGCTGAAGAGCTGTGGGACAGAGCCCAGGCCCAGAGTGCAGGCCCCACCACTGACCCAAAAACAAACAAAAAAAACCCCAACAAAAACCTACATGTGTACTACTAACAGATTCAAGGAAGAAAAGATAATTTTCTTTTTCTTTCTTTCTTTCTTTCTTTTTTTGTCGGTCATGGGTCTTGAACTCTGGGCCTGAGCGCTGTCCCTCAGTTCTTTAGCTCAAAGCTTGAGCTCTACCACTTGAGCCACAGCGCCACTTCTGGCTTTTTTTTTCTTATGTGGGGCTAAGGAATCGAACCCAGGGCCTCATGCATCCGAGGCAAGCACTCTACCACGGAGCCACCTTCCCAGGCACTATGAGACTCTTTTGTTGTTGTTGTTTGTGGGGATTAAACTCTAGCCTGGGCACTGTCCTTGAGTTCTTCAGCGCAAGGCCAGTGCTCTACCATTTGAGTCACAGCGCCACTTCCAGCCTTTTCTGCTTATGTGGTGCTGAGGAATCGAACCCAGGGCCTCCTGCATGCCAGGCAAGCACTCTACTGCTGAGCCACCTTCCCAGCCCTGTGATACTCTTATCTCCAATTAACCACCAGAAAACTGGAAGTGGAGCTTTGGCATGGAGCTGTGGCTCAAAGAGGCAGAGTACTACTTTGAGCAAAAGAGCTCAGGGACAGTGCCCAGGCCCATGACTGACAAAAAGAAAAAAGAAAAGATTCTCTGCTAATAAAGCTTGGGCTTGGAGCTAGGGATACAGTTCAGTGATAGAGTATCATGCAAAAAACTTTTGATTTAATCCCCAACACTGAAAAACAAGCAAACAAGCAAAAAGCAGAAAAACTATACATGGTAGTGCATACCTGTGATTCCAGCACTCTGGAAGCCAAAGCTGAGGATGGTGAATCAGCCAGCTACACCGTAAGGCCCTCTCAAAAAAAAACTCCCAAAATACCAAACAAAACAACAAAACCAAATCTAAACAAATAAACAAAAAATGGGCCTATATGAATTACAGAACAAAAGTCAAAAGTACCAAGATCCCACAAGGATGACAGATGACAGTTTCAAATGTCCTGAAGTCTTATGCAAAGTTGTTATTGGAGCAGTCACCCACTTACTGCCTTCAGCAGTCACTTTCACACAGGGAAACAGCCCCACCGATTGTGAGATGCCTGACGTAACCCACAAGCAGGTAATTTCCAAGCAAAGTGTTGTAAGTATTATTTTCAGAATCGTAACCAGCCTCCAAATGCCCCTGACCAGTTTTCTCATTATAAAAGGCAGTGTACATGCCTTGCACACAGCACTCTTCAGAATGGATACAAACCTATTGATGCTAGTCCTTCAGGCCTGCTCGAAATTCTTATAATGTTCCTATCTCCCTTTAAGAAAAAGATTTCATTTTCTGTGCAGGAAACAGACACAATATCACCAGATCCTTCTAAACCAGCAATTGTGGCCTGTTAAGATAAACAAAGAAATAAAAACATAAGGGGTTGGGGATGTGGCTCAGTGGTAGAATGCTTGCCTAGCATGCATGAAGACCAGGGTTCCATTCCTCAGTACCACATACAAGAAAAAGCTAGAAGTGGCTCTGTGGTACAAGTGGTAGAGTGCTAGCCTTAAGCAAAACAAGCTCAGGGACAGTGCTCAGGCCCTGAGTTTACAAGCACCAGAACTAGCCAAAAATAAATAAAGAAATAATAAATAAATACAGGAGACCAGGCAATAGTAACAGTTGAAAGCATTAAAAAAAGCTATGTAAGCCAGGAGCTGGTGGCTCACACCTGTAATCCTATCTACTCAGGAGACTGAGATCTGAGGATAGCAAAAAAAAAAAAAGAAAGAAAACATATGGCCAAGGAGATACAGGTGGAAACTCAACATACACAAGGTTCCCTGAGTTCAATCCCCAGTACCCTAAGCCCCAAAAGAGAAACACATGGCCCAAATAGACTACAAAAAATGTACTGTTTTTTTTTTTTTTGCTCAAATACAAACAACAACAACAACAAAAAGACATCTAATATTTGGGCAAAGTTAGGAGTATGACTATTAAAAGCACTTTATTTATTTAATGTACTTATTCATTCTTTGGTAGAACTGGGGTTTGAACTCAGGACCTTGTGCTTATTAGGCAAATTCTCTGCTACTTGAACCAGGCCCTTAGCCCATTTACCTTTAAATTTATTTATTTATATTTTTGATAGGGTTTCAAGTTTTTACCTCAGGACAGCTCCCAACTGTGATCTTCCTGTCTCCACTGTAGCTACAATCATAGTGTATACCATGCCCAGCTTGTTGGTTGAGATGGAATCTCTGTTTGCTTAGACTGGTCTTGAAGTTCTATCCTCTCCAGCTCTGCCTCCCCATAGCTATGATTATAGGCCTGAGCCACCTATGCCCAACTGAAGTAGATTACTTTTGAAATCTACAAAAATTTCCAAGCCTTCATTTGGTTTCTTTGGCTCACAAGAAAATGGAATGCATTGGTGCTGATCTCCTCTCGCCACTCTGGGAGCCAGGCAGAGCATCCCCTTGCCTCTGACCCCTTCACCTACCTGGTTGATGGTGTCCAGAAGATAGATACTGTACTCATTCCAGCTCAGCACCCAGCCTTCTCGAAAGAAACATGAAACGAGTCCCAGGTGTTTCTCAGGTGAGCCGCAACCCCCTCTATCGGAGGATTCCAGCCTTGGGTAGAGCTCAAGAGGTGTGATCCCTCCAGCAAAGACATCCTTTAAGATAAATGTAGCTTGGACTGTGCCATAGACATCAGCCTTCCATAGCCGGAGTCCAGGCCGGGACGCGTACAAGGTGAGATCACTTTGCTTACACAGCCCTGGTATAAAACAAGCACCAAATTTCCCAGTACTAAATTGGAAGAAAAAAAGAAGAAAAAAAAAACAGGCATGAACTGATTTAAAGTAATTTGTCACTGTTGACCCTGATATTAACTATAATGATTTGTTGGCTAGGCAAGGCCTGATTTCAAACTCCAGTACAATCAAATAAATATAAGTTTTGGCAAACACCAAACAATTGTTTTCTACCTTTCCTACTGTTCACACCCACCACCAACATCCCACCCTCCTCCTGTCCTCACAGGGGGCGCTCCCAGAGCACACACCCTGGCTTCCTGGAAACATCCTGAGTACCTGCCATGGCTCACCTTAACCCTCACAACTCCATGAGGATTTTTTTTAATTTTATTTTTTTGTTGGGTGTGGGGCGTGAACCCTGGGCCTGGGCGCTGTCCCTCAGCTCTTCAGCTCAAGGCTAGCACTTGAGCCACAGTGCCACTTCCGGCCTTTTCTGTTTATGTGGCACTGAGAAATTGAACCCAGGGCCTCCTGCATTCGAGGTAAGCACTCTACCACTGAGCCACCTTCCCAGCCCCCCCTTTTTTTTTCATTTCAAAAAAAAAATTTTTTTTTAAACTCAGGGCCTGGGCACTCTCCCTAAGCTTCTTTTACTCAAGGCTAGCGCTCTACCACTTGAGCCACAGTGCCACTTCTGGCTTTTTCTGCTTATGTGGTACTGAGCAATTGAACCCAGGGCTTCATGCATACTAGGCAAGCACTCTGCCACTAAGCCCTTATTTATTTTTTGGTCAGTCCTGGGGCTTGGAGTCCTCTGAGCCTGGACACTGTCCCTGAGCTTTTGTGCTCCTGGCTGGCACTCTACCACTTGAGTCACAGTTCCATTTCAGCTTTTTGCTCACTTAATTGGAAATAGGAGTCTCACAGACTTTCCTGCCCACACTGGCTTCAAACTGTGATCCTCAGTTCTCAGCCTCCTGAGTAGCTAGGATTATAGGCGTGAGCCACTGATGTCTAGCAATGAAGCAGTTACTACATTCCAGTGTTACAGAAGATGAAACTGAGGCAAAAGGGGACAAGGCCAAGACTGTCCCTGCCAGCTCTGCTCTGAAGTTCTGTTCCTTCTAACATCTGATGGCCATAATCACCCCAAGCTCCTCAGCAAACAAGCTTTCTGCCAAGAGTAACAGCCACTCCTCTAAACTGTCACCCTTTCAGAATCCCCGACCCATCCAGAACACTCTCACCTCTTCCCGTCCCCTGGCTTGGTATTGTTGTGTTTTAAAATTATGAAATTGCTGGCATATACAAAAGAATGTATTTAATAAAAGCTATGAAGTCCAGTGGGCCACCCACCCACCCAGAAACCCTTCTTCCAACTCAGGACAGCAGCCGCACCACAGACCCACACGGTGCTCCTGCTACCTTCCCCCATGGTCCTGGGCAGTGATTACTGAACTGAACTGTGTCAGATTTCCTTGCCTTTCCTGATAATCTATTACACATCTGTGTGCTCCCAAACCCTAAATAATTTAGTGTTGTCTCTCATTTGTATTTAAAAAATAGTATGATGCCATATGTATACTTTTGAAACCTTTTTTCACTTAACATTAAAGTTCCAAGACTTATCCTTGATAAAAAGGTGTAGCCAGGCACCAGTGGGTCATGCCTATAATCCTAGCTACTTAAGAGAACTGGGGATCATGGTTCACTGCCATCTTGGGCAGGAAAGTGTGTGTGACTCTTATCTCCAACTAGCCACAAAATGCCAGAAGTAAAGCTGTGGCTCAAGTAGTAGAGTGCTGCCTTGAGCAAAAGAGCTTAGGGACAATGCCCAGACTCTGAGTTCAAGCTACAGTACCAGGACAAAAAAGAAGCTCTAGCACTCTTTTGTGTTTGTTCCAGTATTGGGCCTTGCACTCTCTCACTCAGCTTTCTGGCTCATAAATGGCCTTTTACAACCTGACTTATGCCTCTAGTTGTGGCTTTTTGCTGGTTCACTGGAGATAAGCATCTCTTGGGCTTTTCCGACCCAGTTGGTTGAGCTAAGATCCTCAGATGTCAGATTCCTGAGTAGCTAGGATTACAGGTGAGAGCCATCAGCATTTGACTGTACTTTTGATTGTTATATTCCACAATTTATTCACTCTTGTTAGTGGGTACCTGAGTTATTACTTCTTTCACTTCTTCATGTGTGGGCCTAAGAATCTGTCAAGAGTAGAACTACTGTACTGTTGTGTAAGAGTATATGCAAGTTTAAAAGGCAATTGCATTAGATTCACGTCTGTAATCCCAGCTACTTGAGAGGCAGAGATCAGGAGAACTATGGTTCAAAGACAATCCAGGCAAAAAGTTTTTGAAGCCGGGTGTCAGTGGCTCATGCCAGTAATCTTAGCTACTCAGGAGGCTGAGATCTGAGGATCATGCTTCAAAGCCAGCCCGGGCAGGGAAGTCCATGAGACTCTTATCTGCAATAAGCCATCGGAAAACAGGAAGTGGCATTATGGCTCAAACTCAAAAGTGGTAGAGTGCTAACCTGGAGCAGAAAAGCTCAGGGAGAGCACCAAGGCCCTGAGTTCAAGCCCCACAACTAACAGAAAAAAAAAGGGGAAAAAAAGCAATCACAAACTTTCTTCAATGTGTTGATACCAGTCTCTACTTCCTGGCAATCTGACTTCTCACTGTTTCACATCTTTGTCAATGCAGAGAATTCTACTTTAAATTTAAGCATTTCTGCTCACTCCTAAACTTTGTAACTCTCTGAAATATTTCTGGAGTTATAGACAGTAGATAAAGCACTGGCTTTAGAGTAAGGCCTGGGCTCGATGTTCACTCTGACATTTAAGAAGTGTGAGGTGTGTGCAGGATCCTGCCTGCCAAACTGTGTTAATGTCACGCTCTGTCACGGAGGCTGCAGATGAAATGGAGAGTCTACATAAAGACCACCAGCAGTGCTGTGACACTCCAGGTCCCTGAAGAGGAGCTGCTGTATCGCGTGGATTCCCCACGGCGTGCTAATCATCCACCATCCCCACTGCCACTGGGGCTCACCCCCCAGAGCCTCACAGGAAGTTAGAGGTGTTTGGGGGTGGGGCTCTACATGTCAATGTTCCACTAGGCCCCTTGGTGCTTGGGTAACTAAATCTGAAGAGGATATCATATATCAACTCTGGCTCTGGAATAAAGCTCCAGAGACTAGCCAAGAATGTTCTGGTAGCAAAGAGCTTTCCTGCACACATCTAATAGGACGCTGGGGTCTGATGACTGCCGTTGGTGGGTTTGTTCTGGAGAAATCCTCTAGACAGAGGTGCCCAGAGAGTTCCAGCAGAGCAACCATTGCCTCCTTTGCTTTTTCCAGTCAAGTCAGCTCTACCCTGTGAGCCCCGCCCCTTCCTCTGGTCCACCTGGAGCCCCCTTAGCGTCCCACCAAAGCCACCACACCTGTCCCCTTTTGTGACTGTCCACCATGCTGGAATAAAGAAGCCGCTAGAAAGGGATTCTCAGCTTTCAAATTACCATTGACAGCGAAACAGCCCTTGAGCTTATCCTGCATTGCCTCTACTGCGTTAAGCTTCTTCCCTCTAAGAAAGAAGACACATTCACTTATTTCTGCATCCAGGCCGTCCCTGGCAGAGTATACTTTTAGTCAATCCTGCCAAAAGACCTTGACCAAACAACACCCTCAAGAGGTTCACCATTAAAATTGCCTACGTCTCTACACAGCTGAAGGCTAGGTCTGAGCGGCAGCTGGGTAAAGGATCTACATAAAACTAACTAGCTCTGGCTAGGAAGGTGGCTCAGTGGTTGAGTGCTTGCCTCGCATGCATGAGGCCCTAGGTTCAATTCTTCAGTACCACATAAGCAGAAAAAGCCTGTGTCCCTTTAGCTCAAATGGTAGAGCGCTAGCCTTGAGCTGAAGAACTGAGGCCTAGAGTTTAGGCCCCACAACTGACAAAAAAAAAAAAAAGCTAACTAGCTGTGTATGAGTGTGTATGTGTGCATGCTGGTCCTGGAGCTTGAACTCTGGGTCTTGGGGCTGTCCCTCAGCAGCTCAGTTCAAGGCTAGTGCTCTACCACTTGAACCACAGGGCCACTTCCAGTTTTCTGGTGATTAATTGGAAGTAAGAGTCTCATGGACTTTCCTGCTGGGGATAGATTTGAACAGAGACCCTCAGATCTCAGTCTCCTGAGTAGCTAGGATTACAGGCATGAGCCACCGGTGTCCAACTTAACTAATCAGTGTTTAACTCTCTTTAGACCCCACTTTCCTGAGACACAGGAAAGCACCAGTAGGTGAGCCAGGACCTAATGCCAGAGTTATGAGAAGAGTGCTACATGCTACAGAGAGTCAGAATTCACTTTTATGAAACCCCCAGACTGCAACAACCAGACTGCAAACCCCGCTGAGGTTTCCAGGGCCAACATGGAGATTCTGGTCATGAAAAGGCCAGTCTGGTATCTGGTAGAATTAAATGGAAGGCGAAAGGGAGTATTAGAGGATCTTTTCTTTCCTTTTTGTAGTTTTTTTTTCCCCCTCAGGGCTGAGGACCGAACCTAGGGCCTTGCACGCCGGGCGGGCGCCCTTCCGCTGGGCTAAACCCCCAACCCCTTTTCTTTCCTTTTTTTTTGGCCTGTCTTGGGGCTTGAACTCAAGTCCTAGGCGCTGTCCCTGAACTTCTTTTGCTTAAGGCTAGCACTCTACCACTTGAACCACAGCGCCACTTCTGGCTTTCTCTGTGTATGTGGTACTGAGGAATTGAACCCAGGTTTCATGCATTAAAGGCAAGCACTCTACCACTAAGCCACCTTCCCAGCCCAAGAGGATCTTTTAAGAGCTAAAGGCCCACAGTGCAAAGAGAACAGACTTCTACTGTGTGTCTGCAAAGCAGGGTACAGAAGAGTGGCCTACAAGTGTGCCTGCAGCAGCCGGCTGCACTCGCCTGACTTCACCCAAGCCTTCCAGCCGACACCGACGGCACCACCAGTCCCCGGGACTCTCACAGGCCTGCCTCTCTCCCCAGTCTCCACAGAGCCTGTCTCAAACCACGTCCTATTGGTTGGCCCACTGCCAACCTCTGTGGTTCTCTGCAGGCAGAGGAAGAGAGAGGAAGAGAGGGACAGACACGTAAGCTCCTTTCACTCCCACCAGCCAGCTGACAACCAGCCTGTGCCAGGGTCCCTGGCCCCTGTGCCCATCTGGGCTCCTTCCCCTTCTTCTCACCAGCTTCACTGCTCTGCTCCCCTTTCCTCACCTATCCCACACAAGCTGGCTGCAGAGTGCTTCAGGTCGGGATGAGGGTGGAGAATGCAAGTCACACACGCACTCCACCTGCCATTGTGCACCGGGCTGGTGGGAGTTCAGGCCTTTGGTCACCACAGGAGGGGCTCTCTCAGCTGGGACCGGCCCTTCCTGGCTGCTGCCACTCCCATGCAGGGCAGTGCTTGCTCCTGGCAGGACAACTATCAGCCAGCATCGATGGCTCACACTGCCCTGCTACCTGGCCGTGCCAAGGCTGGCTTGGTGGAGAGCACACCCAGGCTGCCACGGCATGAGCACGTGGGCATCTGTGCAACGAGGTGCTCTGTAACTGAGTCCCGGGCTGTGCTGGCCACACCGGAGCTGGGCACAGCACCCTGAGGTGGAGGGGCTCGGCTCCTTAATCAGAGCATCCCAGGAGGTGTCTAAGCAAGCACAGGCCACCGGCAACTCCGGGACAGAGTGGGTGTGTCCACAGCTGGCACACAGAAAGTCTAGAATTTAGGGCCACTTCTTTTTTTTTGGGGGGGGGTCCGGTCGTGGGGCCTGAACTCTGGGCCTGGGCGCTGTCCCTCAGCTCTTCAGCTCAAGGCTAGCA